CTTCATGTTGATAATTGAATGTGCACGACATGTATATATATATATATATACATATGTATAGATATAATTGTCGATATTAAAGGACCAACTACGTTGCTTACAGTGTATTGTTTATCCACAATAATAATTTATCGATTTGTCAACAAGGATGACTGTTTAACTCTCGTATCCCGTAGCGACTTTTACTCACCCTGACGCACATAAACTATTAACGTCCCTCGTTCCGTGATGATGATGATGATATTGTGCTGCTATGAAAAGCGGAATTGAGCGCTAGAGAATTAGATCGAAATTAGGAAAAGGACCTGGCTCGTAAAACAATTGGTGCGTTGTAAATATGATATATAGGTGTATATATACATATACATGGTATAGAGCCGCATAACAATATATACAGGGTTACTCGATATAAACGTATCGGCTGAAGTTGGTTCTACCATAGAAATCAAATGGACGGACTAACCCTAGTTTGTGCGTTTGACTTGAATAACACTTTATATAATTATATACTAGAATTCAGAACCTGACTAATGTACCTGATAATCCACGTGAATCCATGATGAAGTCTTCCACTCTCACCCCTTTGACACCGACATTCCAGACACCTATTGACATTTTTAAGTTATCATCGCGTGATGCTTTATACCCGCGTATGAATTACTCAGACTTTTTATATGCTACGTATTTATATGCACATATGCAGGGTGACAGGAGGGAGGGGGGGGATATAACTTCATGTGTTTATGATAGTATTTTTTCGTGGTTTTAGACTCTTCTCTCTCTCTCTCTCTCTCTCTCTCTCTCTCTCTCTGTCTCTCTCTTTTTTCGGCTATACCTATATTTTGCCAGTTCGAAAAACGTCATCCAGGAATTGTACCAGGGGTATTTTGAAATAGTGGATTTTGTAAATTATAAGCTTTCTATGGAAGTTGTCGTCAAGTTTACAGCTTGCAATTGAAATCGAATGAGAAAGAATATACGACAACGAAGCTGATCAAAAAATGGCAGTCGGACTGCACATCAGTTCCATTACGAGGGGACTTGTTTACGTTTCAGTCCGTAAGGAGATGGCCTCTCGAAGTAGACCTGTTCAATCGTCGTTATAATCGATGAGAATACACCTGACATGTGGTTACCACCATACGATACGACGCACTCGTTCCCCAGCTGGGTTAACAAAATTCTCTGAAAAAAGAAATGGAGAAAAATGGACGAATTCAAGAAACAAGATAAAAAGTCCAAGGAAAGGAAGGAAACAGGATTCACGGAGAATGACACCTGAAAGGAATCAACCCTGAAAGGGTTAACGACCGTTGCTCGGGTTGTTGGTAGCCACTCGCTTAATTTTCAGTAGGTTTGTCAATATTTTCCATTCGTACATTGATCCTGCCGAATCATACGTCAATTCCTCACCGGGATCCACATAACAGAAACGGTTTTGTACGAAACGCCCATATTATACACATACCCTGCATTACATACAATCTGTCCACGTAAACGTACATATACTTGCATATGCACAACCAATATTGGTAGTTCCGTTCAAAATAGTCGCGCTACATAATGTATCCCATAATTTTCGCTCGTCCAGACGGTTCGTCAGTAGTATATCACAAAACAACGCGGGTAGTTTGAACGGTAGGAGAACACGGGCGCACCCCGTACATCCCAGCATATCCCGTTGAAATAGATTCATTATGGCGATATAGCAGCGCAAGGGATGTCGGCCTTCGAAAACAACTATTGCCGCTACTAGAATTTACGCGTAATGCCCATAGTATACGCGTATAACCTATAAGGGATGTTTTGGCTGCTAACGTATACACATACTTCAAGATAATTTTATACAATCTCAACCCATAGATCAACGCGTACTTAACCATCCACGAAAGTATTAATAATAGTTCTCGATACATCCGCTCACCGAATGGAACCACTATATCGGGATAAATCTTAAGCCGCCGATACGCATACGTGACTACCGGAATTGTACATATGAGGTACCGAAAGTGCATACGCCAGAACGGTAGGAGTTCTCTAGTAAGACGTATCCAGAAACGGACCGCTGATATTCACGATTCTTTCCATACATAACTCGAATACACAACTACCGTGCATGCCTAACACACAAGTAGCCAAGTACCCAGCAGTGCTCTTCCAGTAAGTCCAAGTTGTTTGACTGCTCCTAGGATATAAATAAAATGGTCAATCTTCTACTAGGTACAGACCGATATACAAAAAAGATGCTTCCAGCAAGTGCTCATAGCCATATAGAATAATTGTATGACGGCTAGGTTAAAATTGGCGGTAATTTTAAACGTCTACCTTTCGCGCCACAGGAATTCAACGCGGTATCTCCACGTGTGTTTATCGCGCCTGCATTTACCTTGTAGGCGAGAGTGTGACGTGGCTATAGGCGATTACTTTCGATCTCATTGGGCCGTTTGTCACTTAGCGGCGGCTGGATGCTCGGCAAATTGTGTTACGCGACCTATCCACCTGATGTGTGCAGGTGTGCTCGGCTCGTCCCTTCAAAATCTCTCTGCTATTTGGACACGTTCGTATATAATGGGAGGCTGGCCAATGCGAACGGACAATACACGCTTGGTCTGGACTAGATTTATTCAAATGCATCGTATGCACGGGGATGATAGGTCCGCTTGCGTGTTGGTGCAACGCCGCGCCATGTGTCGCATGTATATATATATGCACATATGCGACTATCCTCTTGGAGCACCGCGTTTTACACACAAATAGTGGATGTGCATATAGGCGCATGCGCGTTTCTCATACGTGGACGAAGATAATGGCAAAATTATCCCTCGATGTGGATAAATTATGTTCGCGAATCGTACTCCAACGCAAACATTTGCCGTCGGCTTAATAACGTGGCCGCACGCCGTGTTAAAACAGTTTGTATATTGTATAGGTACTGCCAGGACTCGAAAGGATCCCGTTGATAATTATGGGGATGCTTCTGGTTCTAACTTGGAGGAATTGTCACGGTGTCGTTATCTCTGGGTAAGAGGATAAGGGCTTGTGGGTATTTCAAGGAATTTTCGAAATTCTTGTCAATTGATTTATTTGGGTTAGAGGTACAATCGAATCTTTTGGAAACGTCATTTATCAGAAAATTATTGTTTTATTTTTTTATTTTTCGGAATACTTTCAATAACTTCAAAATTTACTATGTATAAACTTGTCAAAAAATAATTATGAGGACGTGTCGCACTATATATATATATATATATATATAGGTGGTTTATTATGGGTGTTATCGCCACTAGACGGATCCAACTCCTGCAGCAAGTGGGCAGTAATGCTTGACGAGCAGACTACCCCTTTAATTGAGTGCAGTTTTACGATTTCAGACGTCATTTAGGACAAAAGATTACGAAAGGAGGGAGATATAATCAGGATAAGCATAATTTACCCTGATATTCCTGAAAATTTCTGCGTGATATCTGTACCCTTAATATTTTCATTATTTTCATTTCGAGTTTTGAGGATTGCATAACGTTCGTTGAAATATCGTCAATGTTATTGATCAATCGAAAAATTTTCTTATCTTGTTATGTACATACTCCTTTTAGACAGTATACGCGTATGTTTTTTACTCATGATCAGAATTACTCGTATCAAGTAATATTTCGAAAAGAAGGCAGAACCAGTGAAAGAAAGGAACAGGAAAAAGGAAAGGGGAGGAAAAAAGTTTTCCAACCCCCACGCACTCCTCTTATTCTCATTTGGAGAGAGAGAGAGAGAGAGAGAGAGAGAGAGAGAGAGAGAGAGAGCGTCTCTCACTCTCGGAGTGTCGATCCCTCTCCTCGTAGCCGGTACTCCTATTCCCCCGCTCTCCTATACCCTCTTTTTCCTTCTTACGACGTAGGGTGCTTTGTCACTGTCCGCCGTAGGCTCCATCCCCGCTGAAGCCCCGCACCCCCCCGCCGTCGGGACTCGGCAGCACCCGACGATGTCGAGGTCTTCGTTCCGCCAACGCACCACCTATTTCCGACTCCCTCGAATAGCGTTGCGTCCTGTTTTACTTCATTAGGGGATATGAGTTTTTCGTCCCTCTTCAAGGCATGGATCTCCACGTGATTCCGTCTTCGTTGCACCAATAGGATAGATACGGGATCGGGAAGCCGTGGCGAGTGACGCCACGCAACTCCCAGGACAGAAAAATTCGTTGGTTGATAACAAAGCGCAGACGCGGCGCTACTGGCAGATTTTTTGAATGCCGAATTGCGACGGGGTGAGGTAAATACGCCGTTCCGGCCAATCCAATTCGTTCGAATAGCCGAACGTTATGGTGCTAATTCTAACCGGAAAGCATTTTCCATCTTCGAGGAGAATATACGGGAAACGATCCTGATATAAATTCATCATTGACTAGAAGAGGACGCTTGGGTCATGTTATTAATGAATTTTTGAAAAATTCTTAAAAAACGCTGAAATGATCTTTTCAATGAATCAACTAATTAGCCGAATTACCGTAGGTATAAGGTTAGCATGTTTTACTTGGGGAAAAAAAAGCGTGGGAAATTCAATTAAAAATATTAAAAATCTTTCAACATTATTTTTATCGTACTATAATCTTAGACCGCGAATACAATTGAATAATTTATAGTTATTTTCAATCTTCCCTTTTTTTCATTGTTTTATTTAATTCAAATTCTTTTAATTTTTTTTTTCAAACCCGGAGACCAGGGCGATGGCGATCCATCTCGGTGCACATTCTCCCCGCGACTGCAGTCCGGTCGCGCGCATGAGCACAAGCCTCGCAATTTATCGGATTAGAAATTTATAATGCTCCACCCAGGGTACCCTCTCTCTTTACGAGACTCTTCCACCTTTCCCACCTTTTCCTCATTCTCTCTCCGATTCTCCGTATCTCTTCTGGCGCACGCCACGTCCTTCCTTCTGGTCTCCTATGCTCTCCCATCCCCCATTGCTGCCACTCGCATTCCAACCGTGCGCCGAGTAACTTCCTTTTTCCCCACTTGAAGTTGCCGCGCTTTTCAGACCGCTCCTCGGTCTCTCTTCTCCTAGTAGGTATAACTAATTCAAATAAGTCCAAAACCATATCTCTCTACACTTTTTGTTCCCCTATACACACATATATATATATATATATATATATACGCATTATACTTAAAAAACGGAATGATTAAAATTGACGGAATTTCCAAAAATACTAATGCCAGTTCCCTACGTGGAAGATGGTTATAGCGAGGGATCATTCCTGCCCGCTAACTGTATGCCCTTCTTTGAGAAGGGTGACCTAACCTCCCTTTTCGTAGAAGGTTGCTCCGAGACGAGCTCAGTTTCGGGTTAGGGTTCGGATTTGGGTTCGGGTTCAGCTACGGGGTAGGTCGCAGAGCGTGGATCGATCCCCCTCGAGTTGGGGGGTTGCGACAGAAGCGCCCTCTTTGTTGGGGGGAGCCTCGCATTCACCCCAAAACCAGAACCCCAGTTCTGCCTGTATTCTACCTACTACGTACATCGTACCCAGAACTCAAGGGGAATATCCTTTGTACGATACCACGCGGGTGGCCGTCGTGCGTGGCTAATGGTTGGAGCGATCAGCCGAGCTTTCTTCGAGTAGACGCTATTAAAGATTTCGACCATGTTTCCTTGACATTCGTTATTATTACAGATTTTCATTGATCTTTCGAAAGTTACCCACCAGCAGCGACACAATGGTAATTTTATGAGATCGCGAGTTTTAAACATATTTTTGAAACTCCAACAACATTTTTTTCTCTTCTCCTTCGTCAGCTTCAACATCTTCAGTACGTGTTACTCGGGAGAGTCGCAACCCGGAAAGGTTCAAAAGCTCCGACGGTACCCTAGTCCGAGATAGGACGAGAGTGCCCTATCCCCTCTCACGGAGGGTGAATTCGTGGCATCAACCCCTAGTAGTATTCGGATTCACGCAACGCTGGGTCGAAGATTTCACCCTCTCTTTTATGGCGCTATGCGAAATGAACCTCGGATGGTCCAACGCTTTAAAAGAAATTAATTGCTTTGGGGGTCATTTTTTTTTGAGTTTTGACAGCTTCATAGATACTTTTGATAAATGCCCATTGTGTAGCCACGAGTAATGCTTATGAATATCGAGAATGAAAAATTTGAGCTTACGTAATTCTAAATGGAAAAGCTTTTACTATATCTATATCAGTAGGTACGGTAGATACATATGCAGACGTTTCAGCTGATTCGAATATAAACTCATCTATTAAAAATTTAACAACGCAAACCATCACTAGGTTGTTTGTTAGTGGAAAAAGCCAAAAATAATCGTACTTCAAAATTCCTTGGTAATTTTCAAAAATTTTCGCAGTGTTAGCCGACGACAATTTCCTAGATCGAAAAGAAAAATTTCTACAGCTTTTTTTTACACTTTGTATTTATATATCTAAATGTACATCCACTCGCAGTGATTCATTGCTTTATCTGTTTTGCAAAATTAAACAGACTGGGAACGTCTTTTAGGTTAGGTTAGGTTCATCGGAATTAGAAATTGTATACGTAATATATAAAAATGATACATACTGATCAATTATATTGTAAACCCAATAATCATACATCACTCTAATCATAAGAAATAAAAAAAAAAACTGATTTCAAAATCCAATTGTAGAAAAACACGCATAACGCCAAATTGTAGGTCAATCTTTTTTTCGGTAAATTAACAAAAATAGATAATGAGAAATTCGTATCTTACGCATGAGGAAGTACGAGTAAATCAATAAAAAAACGAACTATACAAAATCAATACCAAAGTCTCTTGTACACAGCGTTAGAAACTATATGTATACCCGTACATATAGTAATATGGATTTTTATCAAAGCAAAATAAGGGCATGGATCCATTTAGTAAATAAATAAAAAAAATCGAATATGAAATATAAAAAATACGAAAGCTTTTTGAACGTTCCTAACGAAGGTACGATCTCCAGTTGAACGTCATCCACATCGGGCTGGTACCCGGCACCCGTCACCACGGGTATACCACGGCCGGCACGGACGATGTTAGCACGATCGATACGGCCATCCCCCCTAGCTGGGCCGATTTTTTCCATTCGACCCTCGCGTCTGCGCACTGCTGCTATTCCCCTTTCCGAACAGGGGTGCCTTCATTATAGCGCACCATGTATATATATATATATATAATATATACACCATACCAAAAGGCGCTTGTAACTATACCTATACACTCGATATACTTTACCGACTGAAATTCAAGACTGGGACACGTCGATGTGACTTTGGTAAAAAATGAAGTGCGTATCCATGCCAGATAATTACTTAACAATAGCTAAAAATTGAATACTCTATTTGCCAAAAAAAAAGGAAATTTTTTTTTTCTATTTTCTATTTACTATAATATTTTGTACAATAAAATTTCAAGGACTTTTAACATATAACTATAGGACTATAGACCGTTCCATGTAACGTTGATAGAGAAATTAAATGATGCACAGTGTATTATAAATATCTTTAACAATTATTACAGTGTCTTTTGTCTTTATTGTATCTATGTATCTATTCGTGGGATCCTAGAGAAAGATACTTTGAACGGTATAGCTCTCTGATGTTAGCACCGTGTCCCGTTTCACCATCGCATCCCTTTCGTACAGTAGTAGGTAACGGTAATGGCGGGATATCGGGTAACGGGCCAGACAAATTTCAAATTTGATTATGGCATTCGTGCGAGTAGTATCTACTATTGTAGAACGATATCACGTAATGAAATCGAGGACTAGTTAATATACGAATAAGGTATAGAGACCCATGAACGAATGACGTAACGTTATGCGATGAAAAATTGATTCGAAATTATTTTATACATATAATTTCTATCGATCTTTATCAATCTTAAATCGTCACCTTATAATATGTACTCGCGTATATTCAACTGATACTTTATCGTGGTTAACTGGAATCGATCCGGACTCCGTCTAGTACAGTTATATTTAGGTGAACTTTGGCATTAACTGAAACCTAGCCATAGTGACTGACGGATGTAGCTACACGTGTGTACGAATAGACGGACGTAGAGGAACCAAGGTGCTTTTACTACCCCATCCGTTATGTAGAACGCAGTTAGTAGAAAACCCTGACGATCGATGCATCCATCCAGCCGGTTCGAATTTGATAATTGGATGTGATGTAATATTTGATAAAGCTTCGAAACTTTTTTCAATTTTATATTCATACAAAATATTCTTGGTTGATTAATTCTTTTTGATTGGGTATGATTATGAAATTTTTTTGAAAATTCTATCAAAGGATCTACTAACTTCTGTCATGAGCTTCCAATTAAACTGCATATATATATATATATGCATATACTAAGAAGATATACACACATGCGCTTGGCTTGGCTGTTCTCATGTTTTGGATTACGACCTTGAGCCTTAATGAACTTTGTTATCTTGTCCTCTCGTTCCACGTTTTTAATCCGTTAATAGGTCAATCAGTTATTTCTAGATTTTTTCGATGACGAACCAAAGGGTGGGTAACGAATTATTGAAAATTTTGAAAATTGAAAATAAACAATATTACAGGTAATTAGGTATGAAAGTATAAGAGATTACATAAGAAGACACGGGTCGTATAGTGCCGAAGTAATAAAGATTTAAAAATAAATAATTATTGATAATTCATGATAACCCATCCTCCATACGGTTCTCCAAGCCTGACATGAACCGTAATGAATATGAAGTTGTATCTGCATTAGATAGGTATTTGCAGATTTCTTCCAACGTCGAAATCCTAGCAAAGACGGTATCGAAATTTCAATGTCAAATTCGTTCGGGACTTTCATAATTTCTTTTCGATCGAATATTGACTCACCTGTTTTTTCTTAGGTATTGGCTGCTAAAGGTATCTACGTGTTTTCCAAGTGTTGCGTTGCTTGGTAAGCTGAGATTGCTTTTATAGGCATCGTAGATATCGTGAGTAATTCAGACGCAGTTGTTATGACATGGCGATACCACACGCGTCGGACTACCCAAGAGTGTCAGAAGCACAAGAGCCATTGACAATCGCTTATATTGCACGAGCTCCGTGTTATCAATACGTGTGGTAGGGAGGGCCAAAAGAATTTTTATATAGGTCTCGGTAACGATTGTACTTTGATGATTTAAATTCACGGATAATATTGTAAAGGTGTTTGATCGAAGGAAACCTCATTAAAAAAATGGTTTTCGTGCCATGGTAATATAATACTCGATAGCCTGAAATACATTGGGGATGAACAAATTTTGGCTCTTTGAAAAAAAAAAAAATTAAAATTAAATATTTATCGCGTTATCAAAAACCTAATGGTTTTTGTGAAAATTTTGACTGTCTGACATTTTGGAATTTGGTTTTGATTTTTATTTATCTAGATCATACATACGACTCGAGACGTTATTTAATGTTACATTGAATTTCTGATACCCCGAGAGTGATTTGATCCTTTGTCACGTGTGGCTGAAATCATCCTCGAGTTCTATCTCGAAGAGGAGGAATTTTTCTGCCCGTGGTGACCCGGTCGGGGCACCAGCAGCCATTTTGTTAACAGAGTGCGATATGACGTCAGGTGGCCTACATGATAACCCCCGCCGCAACCAGTAACGATAGTTGCTACTTCTGACTTCTGGATTTTGCTGTTCGCTGGCTCTCGCAACGCTAGCGGTACAGATATAAGAGTTTATTGCGGAAAAATAGAGTATTGGAATGACTCGAAAAAAATCAGATAATTTTCCTGCAAGATTGAGTAGCTGCACTTCCGGTGGGTAAACATAAAATATTGTCAAAAAATGATCAAAATAAAGATCCCATAGAGAAGTACTAGGAAAAAAATCAGATAATTAACTATTTGATAGAAAAATTATTTTTAGAAAATGGTAAAAACTTCATTACGAGAAGTTGAGGTATTATTGGGAAAATTGTAAGTTCACTTTAAAAAATCGTCAACGCAGCAAAAATGATTAATCGTCAAACGAATTCGTGCCATCGGCAATGGAAGGCTGCAACAAGAATCGAAACCGCTGCGCAGAACGCGGCATCGTGGTGGCCTCATCGACCTAACCCACTTTGCTTGGGACGAGAGGGACGCCCCGACGACGGTGGCGCCCGAGCCCGAGGACGTTGAGCGGCGACGCCTCGAACGACGCCACACCGTTCTCCAGCCATCTCGTCCTTCCAGCTCGTCGGAGCCGGAGTACGACGGGACAGCATCTCTTTGGAATTCCGTTTGCCCCGTTTCGTTTAATCCACGATAGAGACTACTTATATTTGACTCTCTGGAAAATAACCCGCGCACCTGCATCGAGCGTTATTTTACACCGAAGGCTATAACTGATTCTGTTTTGTTTATTTTCAAAAAAAAATTTATTAGTCGAACGAGAGTATAGGTAAAGTTTAATGGTTATCGTATAGGATAAAAAATATTTTAATGCTAATGAGAAGTACGATAATGTATTTGAATCCAATGGTACCACCAGAAGCAAAAACAGCAACAGACACAACGACTGATCCCTAGTAATAAAGTAGACATTTTATCCATATATAAAATGTCTCCGTATACGTTCAGGGTTGAAGTTGACGACGCCGAGAGAATATTACCTTCTGTGAATTTTTCTTTCTCGACATTAACTACCAAGAAGTCGCTGACTCGGATCAGAAAGCGCTGTGCAGGCGCGCCGTTGAGCTTGCGTCAGAGAGTGAATCACGGTCTGTTCTACGTTGCTTGTTTCTGTTTTTAAAAACTATCTGTTTACCTGCATGCCCGTAAGTCCTTCAGGATATTTTGTACCTGGTGATACGCGTACGAGAAGACCACGAGATTTATCTTGATATGTACTATATACTCATCGCTATCTAAAGTAGGCCACGCCAGGACCAGAGTTGAAAGTTCTGGAGGTACCTCCAGAAATGTTGTGCGTGAGAGAGTAT